TCCAATATATTCTATTTAATTTATTTCAAATTCGTCAAATTCCAATTTTATCCAATATATTCTCTTTATTCTATTTTAAATACGTCAAATTCCAATTTTATTCAATATATTTCTCTTTAATCCATTTTAAATGCATCAAATTCCAATTTCATCCAATATATATATATATTTTTCTTTAATCCATTTTAAATTTTAAATACTTTAAATTCCAATTTCATCCAATATCCAAATTTTAATTTTATCCAATATTTCTTTTCTTATCTTTTATTTCATCCAATATCCAAATTTCAATTTTATCCAATATTTCTTTTCTTATCTTTTATTTCATTCAATATCCAAATTTCAATTTTATCCAATATTTCTTTTCTTATCTTTTATTTCATTCAATATCCAAATTTCAATTTTATCCAATATTTCTTTTCTTATCTTTTATTTCATCCAATATCCAAATTTCAATTTTATCCAATATTTCTTTTCTTATCTTTTATTTCATCCAATATCCAAATTTCAATTTTATCCAATATTTCTTTTTTATCTTTTATTTCATCCAATATCCAAATTTCAATTTTATCTAATATTTCTTTTCTTATCTTTTAATTAAAAAAAATCAAATGTTATTTAAAACAGAAAAAATATCAAATTTTATTCAAAACAGAAAAAAATGTCAATTTCTTTATCCTTTAAATTCAAAATTAAAAAAACTATATCAAATGATAATATAATATTTAAAAAAATATAACTATACCTCTCACGAAACACTTTAATTAACTCTCTACAAATTGTAGAGAAATTATACAAAAAAAAGAAAAGAAAATATCTAATGCTATCCAAAATAAAAAAAAGTATATCAAATAATAATGTGATATATTCAAAAAATGAATATACCACTCACGAAGCACGATTTTAACTCTCTACACTACATACAAGGAGAGATGTCCAAGTTAGTCCCGTGAGGGAAAGAAGCTTTCTCCCACCATACGGCACACCAAGTCAAAACTGAGTCCTGAGCAACCCTCACAGCGGGGATCGCTCGGACCCTTAAACCCTCATTAAGGAAAACTGTTAATGACTTTTTCTATAAAAATACAAATTTTTTAAAAAGTAACATTTTTTATTTTTCATTAACATATTTAAATTCCTTACTTTCTTACGATTCTATACATATGTTGTTTACCAAAAAATGTTAAAATTAAAAAAATTTATTATTTTTCCAGATACATAGGATGATGTTAACTCTACCAAAAACCATACCTATTATTAAATAAATATTTAACTTAATCTTTAAATTTTAACATTTTTTTGGTAAACAACATATGTATAAAGTCGTGAGAAAGAAACTGTATATTATTTACACTGTTTTGCGTTACAAGTGCCAATTATTATTGTTGTTAAAGTGACTGAAATTGTTAACAACTATTTATTCTCCATGAAATAAGTTCTCAAGAGAAGGAGATCGGAGTTGGAGGATATATTTTTTCAATTATATTAAGGTAAGTTAGCATATTAATATCCATTTTTTTAATATTATAAAAAAGTAAATTTTTTTAAACAAATAAAATTTGTCAGTAACATGTGATTCTTAAATATTAAAAGTTATTTTATAATGTTGTCAATCAATATTAAGATATATAACTTTATGTGTGTTTTAAAAAAAACTTTCATGTAATTTATAGCTTGAAAATCTGATGCAACCTAAGAATTTATTTTAACAAAAAAAACTATTATATATTATTTTTTATGGAATGTCTATTTGGCCCGTCAGCGGGTCAAATAAGTTACTTTTATTATTTGGCCCGTCACCCCACTTCCATGGATTTCAAGACGGGACAAATAAAAAAGTAGTTTATTTGGCCCGTCAGATAACAAATTAGCTGTAATTAATAACAATAGATTATTATTATTACTATTTCTACAAATAGATTAATTTAATCACCATAAGTATTTTTTACATCAATTTAAAAGGTAATGTATATTTTAACCTCAAAGTAAAGATGCAATTATAAACATAATTATTTATAGTAAAATAATATTTAATTCTTTCGTAAAGTTGTTTTCAAATACTAGATATTTAAACCAATCAAGTTTCAGAGAATTTGATTATTTACCAAAATATTAATTTTTTTGTGAAAAATTCGTTTATGTTTATAAAAATAATTCAATCGTTTCAAAGAATTTTATTAAAATTTCTAAGAAGAATTTTCTTATTACATTACCTGTCAAATTCATGTAAAAAATAGTACCTGGTGATTAAATTAATCTATTTGTAGAAATAGTAATAATAATAATCTATTGTTATTAATTACAGCTAATTTGTTATCTGACGGGCCAAATAAACTACTTTTTTATTTGGCCCGTCTTGAAATCCATGGAAGTGGGGTGACGGGCCAAATAGACACTCCGTATTTTTTTTATGTAAAAAAATGTGTATTAGTCATTAAATAATTTGTATTATTCATTAAAAAAATTTCTAATTTTTTAAACTATTTTTTTTATTTAATTTAATTTCACAAGTTTTGAGGTTATGAGGGTTTGTTTAGAAAGTTATTATATATTTGTAAATTAAACAATATATAGTATATCCAACAGAATTCATACGTCTACAAGAATAATTAATTCGCATTTAAATTAATATTATTAATTGTATTTAATAGTATTTTTTTTTAAAAATATTAATTTTTTTCAAGAAATAAAAGACAATTAAAATGTTTATAACATTTATGGCATATTTTCTTCAAAAAAATTATTCTCTGCAACGTTACATGACAAAATCATAAAATTGCCATAATCAATTCTATATAATTTTTCTTTACAAAAAATGATTCCATTTCAATGTTACATATATGACTTATTTTTCGCAAGAAAAATTGAATAGTCAATTTCGAAAAGGACTCAACTCGGTTTTTTGAAATTTTATTATTACAGGAGATACAAAAAAATGTTTATTTTAAACAGCTTTAATTAAAAAAATCCATCTTTTTTTTCGTACTACATAACTAGATGCTATTTTCTATATTACAAAATGAGAAAAGAATTGTCCTTAATAACAGTAACTTGGAAAAAATTGATATTATAGTTGTCAGAGTTGATCTCTTTTCGAAATTCATGAAAAAAATTTAATCGTTTCTCTTAATTGAAAAATATATTAATTAAATGTTTTACTATCAAGAAACAATTTATTTACTTTTTTATTTAATTTCAAAAAAATGTTATAAGTTCTTTTTAAACTCAAAAAACAATTTAATATATTTAGGTTAGATAACAAACAATCTTAAGTTAAAAGTCAAAGGAAAACACACTTTAATACATTTTTCTCTGATGAAAGTACCTCAGATGAAATTTTCCTTTTGAGAAAACGTCAATGAATATGTAATGATGCAAAAAATACAAAAAAAGGAATTTTTATAAAAATCCGAGTTGAGCCCTTTTCGAAATTAACATTCAATTATTCTCTGCAACGTCACAGTTGAGATAAAAATATTATTATAATTATTATCATAATATTAATATATTTTACTTCTTTATTATAAAAAAACAAATAACAATTATTTTGTATATCTTGTATATTAAATCATAATTTTTTTTGTTGAAACGAAAACAAAGTTATTTTTTATAACTTAAGATAATTCTAATGATGACCTAAATAATATTATATGTGGAATGTGAAAAAAAATGTTTATTTTTATAATAAAAGTTAAAAAAAAGTATTATATCATAAAATAAGTTAATTATTGTAACAATTTGTTCATTTATTTTCCTTTAAAATCAAATAATAAATTTAAATTTTTTTAATGAAAAAAATCGAGAAATAATTAGGATAATAAATAATTGTAATAAAGACAAAGTAATTATTACATGATCCTTTAAATATTAAACGACCTAATGCTCCCTTGTGTTAATTCATGCATGAAAGCGATAAAAATCTTCCATATTTTGATTTGAATTTTCAAGTGCTCTTTGTAATGTTCTTAATATGTTTTAAGAAAGAGAGAAAAAAGGAATAACCATATATACATATAACTAATTAATGCATATTTCTTAAAATAATTTTATAAAAATTAAAATTAAATTTATTGTTGAAAACTTTTATATTAAATATTCATAATTTTTATTTTCAGCTGCAGAAAATCAGCTGCAGGAAATCAACTGCAGGAATTCACTGCAGGATGTTTAAATCAAAAGAACTTTAAGAAGACCTACAAGTTATTTATTTATTAATAATTAAAAATTTCTTTTTTTAAAGTTAATGTTATTATTTTTTTAAAATCAGAATTAAATTAAAATTGTAATAATTATTTTTATTGTTATTTTCGTTAAATAAATAAAAAGAAAATCATACAGTTTTACGAAATTATCTTTTTTTCCTCAAAAAAAATAAAAAAAATTATATTAAAATATATATTTAATTTTATACTTGTATTATATGTATACTGAAAAAACTTAGAGTAATAAATAGGACTAGACAAGCAAAGAAAATGAGACCATAAGACCAATTAGACCATTAGACCATTAGAACATTGGACCATTTGAACATTAGAATAAAAGTGAAAGAAGCAAATTTAAAAAGACATTTTTTAGACAACATTAGAAAGTAAGATTAATAAAGATAATTAACTAAGATTAAACTAAAAAATGGAAAAAAACTTAATAAATAAAAAAAACAATGAAAAAGAAAGAAAAGTTTAAGGATATTACTGTTAATAAGGTAAAATGTGTTTACAATTTGGAAAAACCGTTGACATTAAATTCAAAAAATAATTTGACTCTTACACAAGACACTTGCAGATATAATGAACCTTCAACAAGTAGAAATATTATAAATGAAAGTAACGAACAAAAGCAGAAATTACCAGTAAAAAAAAAACAAATGTAAATATGTTCACGAACTGCAAACAGAATTAACATTAAATATAAATAACAAAATATTTAATTCATGTTCACAACACGATCTGAATTCAACAAGCAGAACTGTGTGTAGAGAAACAAATTTACAACAACAAAGTATGACCAATGGAAAATTTAGTTTTAATCCCAAAAAAGATACAAATGATATACATTTTGAAAGGAGTAATATACTTAATGAGAGTAGTAACGTAATTTTGCTACGAGAATCGTCATCAAAGACGAATAACAATGTTTCTAATTTGACTTCTTTACGAGGTAATAGAAAGAGAAAGAGTTTGTTAAATGAAAAAAGTAGTTCTAAAAGGATTAAACTTGTTCATGATCTGCAACAAGAATTGACTTTAAATAATATTAATAACACTGCAGAAGTTAATTTAAATACTGCTTTGAATAACTTAAGTAACATTCCTGAACATTATCTTGGAACTATGAATGTATTATGTATTCATTGTAAAGCGAAACACTTTAAAGCAGAGAAAGTAAATAATAAAGGAAATTCTTTTAATGATTGCTGTAGCCATGGTAAAGTATTCCTACAGCCTTTGCCAGAACCACCAACAATTATAAAAGAATTATTTGAAGGTATTCATCCTTTGTCGAATCACTTTTACAATGAAATACGTAAATATAACAATACGTTTTCATTTGCTTCATTTAATGCTAATTTAGTACAATTTAATAATAGACGGCCTGGACCATTTTGCTTTAAAATTCAGGGACAAATATATTATCAAATAAATACCTCTTTATATCCGGATGATGGCGAATTGCCAAGTTTTGGACAACTTTTTATAATTGATACTAATGAAGCAACAGATTTCAGAATGAATATGAATTCTACATTAAACAAAGAAATATTAAGTGCTATTCACAATGTGATGATTGAAGGCAATGCTTTTGCAAATGCATATCAAATGATGAAAGACGAATTAGATTCAATGACAACAGAGAACAATGGTACAGAACCTGAACTGCAATTGCTATTTACATTAAAGAAAGGACAAGATAAAAGACGATTCAATTTTCAAAGAGTTAATGAAGTTGCGGCAATTTTCTCTACTACTGCAGACGGAGAAATTCCAGAATCTTACGTTACAATTCGTAACAAAAATACAAAGCATTTACAATATGTAAGCTCAATGGATCCTAATGTTGAACCATGGACTTATCCTTTATTTTATCCATATGGAACTAAGGGTTGGTCTGAGGATAAAAAAATGATTGGTAGTAATCGAAGAGTAACTAGAAATGCTTATATAAAATACCGAATGGCTATTCGAGATGAACCAAACTATATTTTAAAGGGACGACGATTGTTTCAACAGTGGGCCGTTGATAATTACGTTAAAGTGGAAAAGGATAAAATGAATTATTTAAGAAGTAATCAGAAACAATTAAGAGCTGATACATATGAAAGTCTCTTACAACACTTAGAAAAAACAGCAGAAAATACTAGCAGTCGCGTTGGAAAAGTAGTTGTTCTTCCTTCCACTTATCCAGGATCACCACGAAATATGCTACAGAATTATCAAGATGCAATGTGCATAGTAAGGAAATTTGGTAAACCTGATTTGTTTATTACAATGACTTGTAATCCAAAGTGGAAAGAAATTACTGAAAATTTGTTAGATGGACAAACGGCTTCAGATAGACCTGATTTGGTGGCTCGCGTTTTTGAATTAAAGAAAGAAGAACTTATTAACATAATTGCAAAAGAAAAATTATTTGGAGAAGTACAAGCATACGTCTATGTTGTTGAGTATCAAAAACGTGGATTACCACACGTTCATCTGTTAGTTAATTTAAAATCAAATTCAAAAATAACAACACCCGAAATTGTGGATAAGTTTATTTCAGCCGAAATACCAGATCCCATGGAAAATCCAAGATTACATAAAATTATTGATGCTAATATGATTCATGGTCCTTGTGGAGACTGGTGTTTAGATAAAAATGGTAAATGTTCAAAGAATTATCCAAAACCATTTAATGATGAAACGAATATGGATGAAGACGGTTATCCACATTACAGACGACGAAATAATGAAACCTACAACCGGCGTGATGGTTTTCAATATGATAATCAACGTGTTGTACCTCATAACAAAGAACTTTTATTGCGTTTAAATTGCCACATTAACGTTGAAGTTGTAACCAGTATTAAAGCGGTAAAATATCTTTTTAAATACATTTATAAAGGACATGATGCTGCGGCTGTTGTGATTCAAGAAGCACAAAACAATGACAACGAAGAAACAGGCGTTCTTGAACATGATGAAATTAAAAGTTATATTGAAACTCGCTACGTTAGTCCACCCGAAGCATGTGGCCGTATTTTGAGCAATAATTTGCAAGGCAAAAGTCATTCAATTTATCGTTTGCCTGTTCATTTACCAAATCAACAAACAGTAATAGTAGATAATGTGGATGATCAAAATTCGGTTAGATCTGCATTAAATAGACCTTCAGAACTTACAGAATATTTTGCTTTAAATGAAAGTGATCCAACAGCTAGAAATTATACTTATTCGGAAATGCCGTTACATTACGTATTTCAAAAAGGAAAGAAATCATCTAATGCCTTCACATGGCATAAGCGAAAACAACATTTCAACACTTTAGGACGTATGTATTCTATAAGTCCATCCCAAATTGAATTATTTCATTTGAGATTACTGTTAATAACAGTAAAAGGGGCTACAAGTTTTGAAAATTTAAGAACTGTTGATGGTGTTACACATGATTCTTTTGTTTCTACGTGCTTAGCCTTAGGACTAATAGAAGATGACGATGAATGGAAAAATGCTATGCATGAAGCAGAGGTTTGGATGATGCCTAGACAATTAAGGCAATTATTTGTACGAATTTTAATACACTGTCAACCTCTACGTCCTGAAGAATTGTGGGAAGAGTTTAAAAGTGCTTTATCTGAAGACTATTCAAGAACAATGTCAGAAAGTCTTGCCCAGAAGAAAGCATATATTCATATCAATACATTACTAAATGCTGGAAATTCAAATTTAACATATTTTCCATCAATGTTACAAATAACAGAAACTGAAGTTGACATTGAAAATCAAATAATATATGAACAACATGAGACAATTGGCACAGAACAATATCAGAAACTAAATGAAAAGCAAAAAGAAATTGTTGACATTATTTTAGAAACAGTTGATAATGAACAAACAATTGATAACAGCAAAAAACAATGCTTTTTTATTAATGGAGTTGGAGGATCTGGAAAAACATTTGTTTATACAACCTTGATTCACCTTTTACAAAGTAAGAAAAAGAAAGTTTGTACAATGGCGTTTACTGGCATCGCAGCAACATTACTTCCTCAGGGTAAAACTGTTCATAGAACTTTTAAATTGCCAATTGCTATTTACGGTGATTCATCTTTGACTATTAAAGCACAATCCAAAGAAGCAGAATATTTAAAAAGCATAGACGTATTCTTTTGGGATGAAGCTCCAATGGCTCCAAGGCATGCTTTGCAATTAGTTGATCGCAATTTAAGAGACATAATGAACAATGATAAACCATTTGGAGGTAAAACAATGATACTTGGTGGAGATTTTAGACAACTTCTTCCAGTTAAACAAAACGCTACTCGCAGTGAATTAATAAATCTCTGCATTAAATTTAGTAGTGTATGGTCTGCTTTCTTTCAATTTTCTCTAACAGAAAATATGCGCGCTTTACCACATGAGAAAGAGTTTTCAGCATTTTTACTACAAGTTGGAAACGGAACAGCCAACATGAATGAAACTGATATACAAATACCAGAAAATTGTATAGCTCCTCCAGGTACAAATATTGCAGAAGATATTTATAAAGATGTAATTAAAAATAAAGAATTTGAAAAATTAACATCAATGGCAATATTATCAGCTCGAAATGTTGACGTTGATGATATTAACAAATCAGTTGTTGAATTATTAGATGTATCAACAGAAAAAATTTATACCAGTGTTAATACTGTTAAAAACTGTGATAACAGTGAAATTGGTGAAGCTCTCTTACCCGAATACTTGGAGACCTTAAATCCTCCAAATTTACCGCCACTTGAGTTACGATTAAGAATTAATACTGTTGTTATGTTGATAAGAAACCTTTCCATAAATGAAGGGTTGTGCAATGGAACACGACTACAGATTTTAGAATTAAAAAATCATTTATTAAAATGTAAAATTTTAACTGGAGATAAATGTGGCCAAATAGTGTTCATTAATCGAATCACATTATACAGTGATGAGCGATACCCGTTTCAATTTGGACGCAGACAGTTTCCAATCAAAATCGCGTTTGCAATGACTATAAACAAATCACAAGGACAAACTTTTACCAAAATAGGAATCGATCTTAGACGAGACGTCTTTAATCACGGACAGTTTTATGTTGCATTCTCGCGTGTTCGATCTTGGGATTCATTGAGAGTCTATTTAGGAGATCAAAGAGAAACTAACGTAGTCAAAAATATTGTATACAAAGAAATTTTTGATTAATTATTAGAGACACTCCTATTATTTAAATAAGATAAGAAAAAATGCAAATAGAATAGACATTTAAGATATCAAAAAATGCTATAAATTAAAATAAAATTTTAAAATTTTATTTTAAATTGAAAATTAACATTATATTATTTAGATAATATAATTATTTAAACTTAATATGCATAGTTGACTGGTGTCTAAGAAACAAGAACAAAGGAAAATTAAATTATAAATGAAATTACAGTTTTAAATAATGATTGAAAAGTAATAATGGAAAATTAATCGGACTCTCGGAAGCAAATAAGACGGCCGCTTGCGGCCGTCGATGCGCTAGTGAAGAAAAAGAAGAAGAAGAAGAGAAAAAGGAAGAAAAGAAAATTAAAATTAATAGTGAACCTAATGTGGTTATAATACAATAATTAATATAAATTTTAATTTATATTCATTCATTCATTTATTTCATTTTTAATTTATATTCATTTAAAAATAAATATTCATTATTAAAATTAATAAATCGTATTTTATTTTGCAATACAAAAAAATTGTATTTAACTTTTTTTAAAATAAATAGAATAGTTTTTTAATTTTATTTGTTAATAGAATATAATTTTGATAGAAGTAAGCAACAGTGAAATATTAAAAATTGACAATGAAAAATAAGATGGGGTGGAGGGAAAAAGTTTTGAAATTAATATTCAACAAAATGCGTTAATAATGAAATGATTAATATTATTTAATATTTTAATTTGATTATTATTAATAAATAAATAATAATACTTGATATCAATAAATTGTGATTAGTTTAACCCTTAAACCGCACACTGCCGAATCCATCCTTAAACCGCACACTGGGACTTTTAAGTGTGTTCTTCAAGCTGGAATAGGATATTATCTTTTGGAAAAATTATCTTTATAGCTCAGGACATCTATTTTGAAGGAAAATAGGTTTCATAATGATTTATTTAATTTTAATAATTAAAAAAGAGTTAATACAAAAAAGTCTTTCTCGGGGACTCTTGTCAAAGTGCATAAGGCCAATAGGGCAGGAGTATAAGCAATAAAAAAAAAATTATAATTATTAATTGTATAAAAAACTATTAATTAACTTTTTTTAAATAAACAAAATTTATCAATATTATTATGTGTTGTGTAATACTAATACTATATGTCAATGATTTTTTTATGTACATTGCAAATAAAAATTAAGTTAATATTAAAGCAGTTTAATAGTTTATTTATAAATTGTAATATATTCTCATATACAGTACCGTCCGCAATTGTCAGTCCACCCATTTTTAAAGGAATGACAAAAATTTTTTAACATAAAATTCATGAAAACTAAAATTTTTTTGGTTTATATTTTGAAAGACGATAAAATTTTGAAAAGAATAAGACCTTACAGAAGTCATTTGGCCAAAATTTGTAGAAGATATTCCTAAAAATCGTCATTTTCAATGTTTTACAAAAATTTAAATAACTTCTAAAATAATGAACGCTTTTTAATAATCTTAGGCTTATTTTAAAGGTCTTTTTCTACGGAATAGGAATTACTTATAGGCATTAACTTGTCATTTTTAACTTGGAATAAGCATGACGTCAAAATTAGACAAAAAAATTGGAAAAATTTGAAATCAATTTTTTGTACTAAAAACTATTCTAGAACATATATAAAACATGATATGGTGTAGATTTTTCAAGAAAATTTAATAAAAATATATGTTTGAATTTTAAAAATTATTTTTCTTTTAATAATATAATTTCAAATTTTTTGAATTTTTTTGTCCAACTTTGACGTCATGCTTATTCCAAGTTAAAAATTACAGGTTAGTGCCTATAAGTAATTCTTATTCTGTAGAAAATGGTCTTTAAAATAAGCCTAAGATTATTAAAAAGCGTTCATTATTTTAAAAGTTATTCAAATTTTTGTAAAACATTGAAAATGACGATTTTTAAGAATATCTTCTACAAATGTTGGCCAAATGACTTCTGTAAGGTCTTATTCTTTTCAAAATTTTATCGTCTTTCAAAATATAAACCAAAAAAAATTTTACTTTACATGAATTTTATGTTAAAAAATTTTTGTCATTCCTTTGAAAATGGGTGGATTGACAATTTCAGACGGTACTGTAGATTTTAGTAAATTTTATAATTAGTAAAGAAAATACAACTTTGTAAATGAATTATGTAAGAAGTTAGTAAATAACAACAATAATAATTTGATTAAACAAATAATAAAACTCATTGTAAACAATAAAAATACATGTGTCTTATTTACTGAAATAACATAATTTTTTACTATGAAACTTTAAGCTTTTATTTTTATTTGTTTTTTTTCAATATGTATACAAATAAGATACTAATAATTATCAATAGTCTTATTTTTAATGTTTCAATGTACCCTTTCATTTTAATTGTTACGTGTCAATTTGATTGCGACAAAAAAATCGAGAATATGTACTTGGTCAAAATTGAAAAACATCGGAATTTTTCCATTATTTCCTCGGTGAAAAGGGAGCGTTTATGAACTACGTAGACCTATTTTTGTCATTTTTTGCCCCGTTTTTTTTAAACTGCATATTTAACTATATTCGAATTAAAAACAATTAAAAATTAAATTAAAAGCAATGTTAAATATTCTGAATAAAATATTTTATTCTTGGCATATAGCAACATTTAACAATGGCGACAGGCAGTGAGTTGACAAAATTCATTTTAGCTTATATGGTATTAACTACGTAGTAAGAGTCGATCTCCCCTCTCCCCCCACGTAGACTAACGTATACTTTTGCCTACCCCCCTCCCCTTAGAATGCTACGTAGTTTATGAACGCTCCCAAACATCGATTCCCTCTCCACCAATCTATTCTTCTATAAGAAAAAAGTTTTGAGCACATCTGCTTTTTCCAACCTCCATGGAAAGTATAAATATACATACACTACCAACGAACAGATTTTTTTTTTAATAATCCTTAAACGGGTATAAGAAGCCTGCGTTCCAAACTGACATCATCAGTAATTTTGAAATCACACGTAAGTGTGGAATTGTTAACAGAAAATAACAAAGCGGTAGCAAAAGAAAAACCTCGTCGTTTTTCTCCGCAGTTAGTACATTTTTAATTTCCTATACATAACAGTACCGAGCAGGCCTAGTGGCTGTTAGACATAACCGCTACCTTTCCTTCTCATGTTGTCATAATAACCACTTACATTAGTGCCGAATTCATTTCGAGACTAATATTCGTTCTCTCGATCAATTTTTTTTTAATTAGTTCTAGTACTAGTTCAATCCTGAGGTGAACTTTACTTTCTTAATCCTCGATTCCATCTGTACCAAGTAAATTTCGTAGACAGAGTAAAAGATCCTCTTCACACCTCCCTTCTTCGAATTTAGTACAGTGTCTAACCTCGAGGCTAAATTCAAAATAGGGATTCCTATATTGAGACTCGATTAATACCAAGTTTGTGCTAGAGGCTAATTTAGACTTTTATCCTGGAAATAGTACCAAGTTCATCTCGAGGCTGTTCCAAATTTTCTCCATGGCAAAATACCAACTTTACCTCGAGTCTCTGCCGAAATTTAATTCCATCCAGGACCTGATTAATACTTATACTAATACTTATACTAATTCTACAATATTTCACCTTTTAATTCAAATAAACATTCTAACCTGGTTCTACCTAGCAACGAGTTTAATCTCGTAGCTGGCTAGAACCTCATTATTTTTACCAACCAAAACCAAGCCCTGACTAGTACCGAGTATACTCTCGAAGCTAGTTTCGTCCTTTCCTATTCTACCGACTGTCCTGTTAATAGTACAAGAAACGTAATCAATCAAACGTTGCATAATTTTTGCTAACCTGGCTCTTTCTATGATGAAATTCCATCTCACAACTGTATATAAAAAATGCTCTTTCATATGATTAAAATGAACCTTATTAACCACCAAGTACATTCATGATCGATCATTCCTACCTTTCTAATAATTCAATCTTGGCTAAAACATACCCTACTTTTCAGATATATTTCAAGATGTTTCAATGCAAGATTAAAAAAGTAAAAACTGAAGGACAAAAGCTTAGAGATATTGAACGACTAAAGTTTAGAAAGGAAAAAAACGGGCCAAAAAAGAAGCACTTGAAATTGCTCGCAAAAAATTATACAACTGTGGTCTTCTACTTAAACTAGAAAAAAAGTTTTCCAGATATGAATTATTCAAAGAGGACAATCGTTCGACTAACAAGGAACTGACGGAGAAAGTTCAGCTCCCTGTACCAGCAGATGTTGAATTATCAACCCCCACCATTAGCTCAACTAACACGAACTTCATTAACATCGAACAGATTTCTATAAATGTTTAGAACATCAATCCGATTTATCAGTCAAAAGTCCAACTAATAAGAACACAATTAAAATCGGACAGTCCTAACCAAGGTTAGTCAATCAATCCGCTCAATCGTTCATACCACCCCTCCGTTCTAAGACCTCCGACCGCCACCCATTAACTCCCGTTACCAGTGAATCAAATGGTCCAATAGGCTACCATCCTTACGCCGAGACTAAGCCCGATCAACCCTAGGAGCCCCGTCCGGAACCTGGAAGAGGACTTAAGTTGGAAATATGTACTTTCGAATTAATATAAAAAATATTTTTTCTCATGACTTAAAATAAAAATTAAATTGATGAAAAAAACAAAAAAATAATTAAAACTGATTTACAAAATTTATTTTTCATTATTTGTTACAACTTGTCATCGTTACGGAACGCAAATGTTAATAAATAATTTGCAACATTACTTTACCTTCTCAGCTCTTTATTATAAAATAAAATTAATTATCAACGTAGATAATTCTACTTTCAGATAAATAAAGACAAGAATACAGATCATATTACAGTAGTTTAAGTATATAATTTTTAAAATTTAATTAATTTCAATAATTACTT